AAAACAAAGAAGAAAAAAGGAATGGACTAGCTAGCAGTGGAGAGATGAAGAGAGTAAAATAAAATAATAAAATAATGAAGTTAGGATTATACAACGCCGACCGGTTTTTTATAACGGTCAACGGTAACACCCTTGCCGACGATATAAATAAGTGTCGGTAAAAAAAAAAAAAAAAAAAAAAAAAAAAAATCCGACAATTTTTGGACTCCCGAAAAAATTTGTTGGGAGGACCTGAAATTTAGTGTATATTATATATCTTTTAGTATTTATTTATTTTTAAACATATTTATATTAATTGTTAAGTAGTTTTTAAGTGTGTAACAGCTCAAACTTACCTTAGTAGATATTATTTATTTTCATCAGCTGTCAATTTTATAATTTTAAAACGTGTCTGTTAGGGAAAGAAATGTTTCGTTCTCCTCTCCAACCAATGCGAGATCTTCCAATTTATCTCTTGGGGGTCAGTGTCCTCCCTAACACACTACTCAATGTCTGAATCTGATATCATTTATAATAAATGATATCAGAGCTAGTCACCGAACCGTGCGAGACAGTAGTTAAAATAGGGCTAGATCTGCTTTATTTATAAGATGCGTTTTAAAATCATGAGATTGACAGAGATACGTAATAGGACAAAATTGACAATATCTACTAATAGTGAGGTTAAATTTTATTATTTCTTATTAATTAAATATGAGATAATTTTTTTTGTAAATAAAAAAAAAGTGAAAATAATTTCCGACGTGGAAAGATAAAAAGTGAAAATATTAAATTAAATATTGGTGGCGGCAAGGGCATACCAGACAGCGGCGATATGGGAGGTCGACTCGTGGGATACGGAGTTGGCGCGAAGTCCAATCGATTAAATTGATGACGTCGGCAAAACCCACCCTCCGTAACGGTGCCACGCTAGCGTCTTCTAAATCATCATCACGTGATTCCACACACGTGGCGGGTTCCACGCGAGAAGACTCTGCTCTGTGGGCCCTTCGTATCACGTGCACCCAAGCTGCCGCCCACGTGCATCACTGCCAGTAGTTTTACTTGATCCACGTTAACGGATTATTATCACGTCATCAAACAATCAAATGTAAATTAAATATATATATATTTTTTAATATTTTAAAAAGTATTTAATACATTTTAATTTTTTAGATTTTACGTTTAATATATTTCTAAAATTAAATTTTAGGTTTAATAATTAACCAAAAAATTAGATACAAAATTTTAAAAATAGAAATTAATTTTATATTGAATAAATAATTCTTAAACCTTAATAAATTTCAACTTGAATTTAAATTTTGCTTAAAATAGGTTAAATTACCTATTATAAGTTATAAATTTAATTAAGGATGATTTGGGTATTTAATCCATAGTATTATATTTAATTATCGTGATGATCTGTCATGCTAAAATTGGTATTTTGTTTAAATTACCTAATTAACAATACTAATTTATTAGAATTAAAAAAAATTATAATTAAGAAATTAAATAGATCTTGGAAATTGAAGTAACTTGTATAACGTAAATTTATAAATAAATAAATTAATAAAAATATTAGAAATATGAAATTATAAAGAAAATAAAGGTGTCGGTGGGTGAAATTACGTGGATTTATATCCACAAAAACAAATAATAAATTAATAAATAAAAAGTCCGTGGGTTTCACGTGCTCGTAGTATTAAAAATCCTGCCCACCCATTTATTTATTTATTTTTCTAAATAAATAAAACATTATGGGAGGGGGTCACCTACTGCATTTAATTCTATTTTCGGTGGCCCTAATTTTACTAACTATATTTAAAATTATTAATTAATTTTTTAAAAAACCCACTTTTCATAAAAGGTTGATGCTTAAATTATATTTAAAATTATTAATAAATTAAAAGTAAATCTCACTTTTCATAAAAAGGTTGATGCTAAATTATCTTTTTGGTTATTTTATTCAAATAAATAAATTATTTTAATTCTCCGAGTATTATTAGTAAGATTATTATGGAATTTTAAGTTCAACCACGTGGAGGGTGGACGTTTAATACGTTAATATTATGATCAATAATAAAATATTTTCAATAATTGAGTTAAAATTACTTTTTTTTTTTAAATTTAAATATATTTTTTTAAGAAGGAAAAAGGGTTTTCACATAAAATGTAAAGCCAAAAGAAGCGTTTGGTGTCGGTTGCTATTAATATAGAAATAATAATTTGAAGGAATTAGTATTACACATAATAACAAACAATAATATAATTAAATATCCGAAGATATGACGTAATAAATGTGGGTGAATATTTTTGAATAAAAAAAATAAAATGTAGCTCAATATTGTGAAAGATCTGATGATGGTCGACGTGGCACTCGCTTTCAAGGATCGACGTCTAAGATCTCACCGTCCGTTCTGCTAACCCTATCCCACAATTATTGGCTAATAAATAGAGATCATTTACCACTTTATGGGACTACAAAGATATTATAGTTGGATTCTTATCCCCAATTGCTTGTCTAATGTATTTTCCTTTCTTGGTAGATATTTATGGATTATATATTTATATATATATATATATATTTAAAGTTTTTTTTATAAATTAGTAATATTATCCGTGAACGTATTGAGCAATATAATATTGTAAATACCGGTATTGTACTTCAAGTAGGCGACATTGCTTGTATTTATGGTCTTGATGAAGTAATGGCAGGTGAATTAGTGGAATTTGAAGAGGGTACTATAGGCATTGGGTGATGGTTTGCTGATACAGGCGGGACATTCTGTAAAAGTAATGGGAAGAATTGCTCGGATACTAGTAAGCGAGGCTTATTTTGGTCGTGTTATAAACGTCATGGCTAAACCTATTGATGGCCGAGGTGAAATTTCATATTCGAGTGGCTGGTTTTCTCTACCTGTAATTCAATGTGGAAGAGGGAAGCGAAAGTGCATACTTTCGTATTCATATCATATGACTGAATAGGTGTCTCATGGCGTGAGCCAAATGGCTCATTGAGAATCAGAAGAAAGTAGAGCCAAAGGAAGGTCAAACTCACATTGTATTATTTAATGAAGTGGTCAATCATCGACTAAATCATGACAATAATTGTTCTTTTGAGTTTGTTTTTCATTGCAATGACTCGTTTTGAGTTCTAAGTATTGTTACACGTTTTAATACAATAAAAATGAGGATGACTGATTGAATCTCTAATTTAATCATCAGACGATTTTTTAGTTTATTTCATTGAATTTTGGAGTGAAAAGCTTGAAAACTCTGACCTATTGATATTAAAGCTATATGCTAAACAACTAAACTATGTTCAAATTGGACATAGAGGCATTCTAGAAGGCAAGCACGAGCCATTGCGGCAGTTAACTCAAATCATTCCTACTTCATTCATTAACCACCAAACAACTTCTCACCCTTATTTCTCAATCCTTCCCTCACCTTTCAATGGAATATCAATCAACCAACCAACCAAGAACTTTTAACCACCCGAAAACGAAACCCGATCTTCTTACACTTCAATCTATTCAACATACAATACTACTAAGTTTTTGCACGTACCTGATATTGTTTAAGAGAAAAATTGCTAAAAACGGGACGAAAATATCTGAAATTTCTAATCAGACAATGTTTCTGAGCAGTTATATAGTATTGATGATAATATATAATGATAATTATAGATATCTAGCGTCGTCTTTGAATAAGACGACCTTTTCATTTTATTTTATGTTTTCTATATTGAATATTGAAAAGTAATAAGAATTAGAGGTGTTAAAGCTTCTTATCATCCTGGCGTCGAGCTATTTTTCCGCAGGACCTCCCAGTATACCCAACGTAGTCAGCTAATCCTGTAAGCAGCCAGGTTCTCTTCCTTGTATCCGTAAGCAGTAACCCCCTCCCTCTTCTCGTAACCCTGCATTGGACTGATTGAAGGAGGGTTGAAAGAGACAGACAGATAGAAACATGGCATTGTTCCTGGTCATTTCTCAAACTGCCCCACTCATTTTCTCTACCTCCCTAAAAATCCTATTGTTCTTCTCCATCTAAAATACCCCACAAAACTGAAAAGAAGCAATCCTCTAACCACTTCCAAATATGTCTAAAATTACTTTCTTTCAGGGTCTAAATCACTTCCAAGTATGTTTTTCATCATTCAGGGATTTACCTGATAAATTTGGAACCTGGGTTTCATAATAAAATATATTAACAGCTATAAATTGATGAACAGAATAGAAAAAATTACGTATAATATTGAAAAGAACGTGAGACCAAATAATGCTAGCAAAGTTACTATGCACATCAAATTTAGAACACTTCTTCACGATCACAAGAAGTACATAGATACCTTATATGTAAGAGGTCAACGACCTGGAGAGAACAAAATGAATCAATCCCACAAGAACCATTCAATATATGTAGAACAAGAACTTCATGATTAATCATCCGCAGGAAAGAGGAGAAACCAACGGAAAGCAGAAATAACAGAATGGAAAAAGAAAGTCATCAGAACTCTGAGTAAAAACTAAAATATTATAGAACAATAATTTGCAAAGACACATTAATTAGAATATCAAAACAAAATGAAGGGTTATCTACTGCAAGAGTCCTACCTACAGTCATTCATACAACTTCGCAGTTGGCTTAGAAAATATAACCTCACATTATTTGGTAGACATAAGAGAGTACCTGAGAAGAATTCATGCTGCAGACCGTTTTCATCGGTAATGCAAAATTTCCCTCGTGAATAGTGATGAGATAACTCCATTTAGCAACTTGTTCCAATCCACCCCGATAAGAACAGCTTTATAAATACAGAATCGTGCGCAACTATAGACGAAGAGCTTTTAATAAATCATTACCTATGTTCCAAATAGAAGTTAAAAATAAAAGCGGCGTTCATTCATACAAATGCTCAAGTACTCTCATCCGACATGGGTCATGTTGCAGAATAAGTGAAACAGCTTGAAGGGAAAATGAAGAACTATTTTGAACCTCCAATAATAAAAGGCAAATGACAGCAAGAATCAATTAAGATTTTATTTTCTCGGGATCTTTAACCATTGCACGTCACAATTTAATTTTAGTGAGAAAATGATTTACAAATAAGAATGCCTACCTATTTGAGGTGTTGATTGATGGATAAAGATCCAAAACCTCATATGCTGATGGAAGCAAAGATCAACCTCATGCATAGTACTACTAATGCTGGAGTAAGAGCACTACCATACTGAAGTTGAAGAAACCTTCCATTGAGTAGTATCAAACCTAAATAAGAAAAAGAACTGAGAATACATTGGATTCTATTGAAATTTCATCAAGAGTTTCCTACGACTCAACGCTGATTTTGGTTCTGCAAATGCTGATAAAAATCATCATTAGCTTTATCCCCTCTACCGCTTGCTTCATCTGAGCAATATAGACTTATCCCTTCGTTGGGTATATTGTCATCACCTGGAGTGCTCACCCCACTTCTGAAGTTCCCCTGGTATCCCCACTGATCCGTTCTCGGGGGGGCAAACTTTGTATTACGCCACTTTTCCTGCCTAAAGTACTTTCTTCCCAAGTCATACGATGATTCCTTTGCTCGTTTCGATGTTTGTTGGATGTTTGATAGATTGCATGAATCCTGTTGGTAATTACTTGTACTAGGAGGGTTTTCTTCTGAGAAAGAAGTTCGAGAATCATGGCAGTTGACCTGCATTTCTTGAGAAGATTGTTCAACTGCAGTACCACAGGCAGACGTAGGTGGGCCTCGCTTACCTCGGGGATATGGTGGTAGGGGTGGAAAAGGATGAAAAGGCACTCCAGGAGCAACATCCCAACACTCCAGATTCTCTGCACGGGACGTTCCACATTGCTCAACAATAGAAAACGGAATTCCATAGGACACAGGCAAGCAAGAAATGAATTTTTCCTGTGGGTACCCAACCGTGGAAAAAGCACTACTCAATTTGCCAATACTCTGTCGGGGAGGATCTAAAACTGTTGAAAAAGCACTTGAAGAAGCCACGGGGAGACTGAAGGGAGAAAATCCAGGAGGAATATCTTCAGGGATGTTCTGCACTGCACTGTCTGCCCTGATATCATCGTCTTGGCTACCACGTACTCCAACAGAATCAGAGAGGGAGAAATCCTTATCATCACTGTTTACCTTGTCTATCAGCATTGACACCACTCCAACACTACTTAATTGGCTGGAATTGAATTGCTGCACAGATTTTGATTCAAGCTTCTGCTCCTTGGATCTCAGATCTAGGCTTGTGTCTGCAGGCTGATCCCATCGACTCTTACGCTTACAGACTTTTTGTCCATTCAATGAGTGACCAGCTGTGGAAGCCATAGTACAGACCTCTGCAGGATGAGCATCTGGTAGAGATGTAGACATTGACTGTTTCACACAATCAATTGCATCTGTGGGTCTGGAATCCTGATCACGCCGATAACTGTGTGATGCTGTAAACCTACTGCAGTTTGAACCCCTGTAAACTTCCAATCTTCCATCCTCCCTCTCAGAGTAAACAAATTTTCTGGTATGTCTGGGGAACCATCTGTCCCGAAAACTTCGAGCAATTTGATGTACCTACACATCCATGCTTAACTAATCAAAACTGAACTTCGGTAGCTTTTGGCCAGACATAATACCTCGCTATGACTTTCCATTTTAAAGGAAAAGGATCGTGAATTATATTTGAATGTTTTTGGACATTTTCAATAAAGAGTATTAGTGGCGTTCTTTAGAAAATTGTCTAGATGCAGCACACTTGAAATAAAGATCATTTTTACCACCATCTTTGAGTATACTGGAGGTCTTAAAGTAATTACTCTTTTCTCGATACATTGCAAATAGAATATGTGAACCGTGATTGAGTGACATTTGCATAGATCATTCATTTGAGTAAAATGTCTTATTGCCCTTTTTGTGATTTCACTCTTTAATATAGTCAAGCTATGGGAAGCCCTTTCACAGAACCAGATATATATTTTTATATTGAACTTTCATTTGTAGTTGAAGTTCTTATACTCTACTACTTTTTGCAATAATGCTCTTTACGGAATAGGTCAATCAATACTCTAATAATTTGTAAATGATACCTGTTTGTCATCATGCTCTGTCAGCGACAGTAAAGAGTCCCTTAAGCTGCACAAAAAGGAAGCAAATTTTAATTTGCACAATTGACAAAAGGAAGCAAATTTTCTAATAAGATCAATCTAATTGCAAAGGAAGTGGAGGAAAAGAAAAAGAAAGTTGAGCAATCAAAGTTGATCTTGAAGAGACCAATTAAAGAGTGGATTGGAAATTGTTTATAAAGCTCCGAAAGCATGGAAAAAAAATGGATAATGGGTATCACTTATAAATTTTTCTCATTTGTGATTAATCTGGAAATCATGAGCTCCTAAGAGAATCAATTTTTTCATTTGTCTCTATGCTATAGAGGAATTCACTCAATTGAATAGCTGAAACGTCAACCTAATATCCCAATTTCTCCTAGCTGGTGCATTTTGTGCAAAAAATGTAATGAGACAGTGGATCATATCTTCTTTAATTGTAAATCTGTCTCAAGTGGTGGTCTTCATTGCCCAAACTCTTTGATGTTCTCAATGGTGCTTTTCTAGAATGATCAAAGAAAACATAGATCAAGTTTTCCCATTCAAGCCACCTTTCAGTTGATTTTGTCAAAAAAGAAAGTTGGTTTGGGGGGGTTGATTGATCTAATCCCGTAATAACCAGTCCTCTTGTCACCATGCTCCTACAAAATGATTTGAGAGCTGAATGCTTTCAAAGAGCTCGGCAAACCCGTGTAATATATATGGTGGATTTGGCGCTCTAGCCTAAACGAATCATATTTCGGCTATTACCTTCTCCATTACTATGCCACTGATGATCAGTGTTCACAAGAGAAACGGTTCAATGTCTTACAATGTTTAAGCAGCCAGTATTTTTGTCGGAAGGAGACTCAGACGATCGCGGATTCAAGCTATAGCAAACAAGACAACTAGTAGATCCGAGGGGAAGTGTCACATTCGGAATTCAGATTAAAGAATTTCTCGAATGATCAAGTTCTTTTTGGATCAGTATGGATAAATGAGCCTCAAGAAGAAGCAAAGCCTGAGGCCATTCTTCTCCAAACAGGAACCCCCGAATAAAGGTCACTTGAATTTTGTGTGCCAGGCAAAGGGAAAAAAAGCCATCATGATCAGAAAAAGGTAGTCTTGGTCACTACATTGGCCCTCCCAACATTTCAGATAGTTGGTGGATCGAGTCCTCAGGTATCTTTCAACGAGAAAAAGAGGATTTGAGGTACCAACGCTATAAAAGTTCTCCTTCAGAACTTTGGTTTGAAAGGAATAGAACATTCCAAGAACCTTTTGTAGATAAATATTTTAATTGGAAAGAGTGAATGGTTAAGCTTCAGAGTTCCTAGGTGATAAATCAGGAATTCTTATCTCCTGTATTCTTCATCTTTAGAGTATTTTATTTCTCATCTTAAAAAAATATTAATACCTTTGATAATATCTTCATGATGAACGTCCTTTATTAAAAACTTTAAAAGGCAAAGAAAAAGTAGACATCATGAAGAAACTGAAGTCTTCATTAGCACATCTCAACAAATTTAAACTACCACATGGATCACCACTATCAGCATAATGACTAGGAAATGACTGTTTGAAATTAAGCATCACAATCTCTAACCTTTCCATTCCAGGGCAAGGAGGACCTCCATTAATATGCTCTGAGGTGAGTATCTCTCTCATAACCAAGTATTCTAGGACCTGCAGAAGAGTTTGATAATTAAATCCTCCGTTTGGAATAAAAAAAAATTCAATAAATGATTTAAAATCTGAAAGATGATTTAAAGATAAAGAACTGTTTGGAACGAATTTTTTTTTAAATGAACCTAATCAAATTTTTGTGTTTGGATGTTAAGGAGAAAAGAAAAGAAAATACAAAATTTAGTAATATAGACTTTTAAATTTGATATATCAGATAAGTCATTTAACTCCAAATTCAATGCAATCCTGCAAAATCTGATCATTTTCGTCAGGAAAAGCTTAAATGTAACAACACAGTTTGATGTTTTTTTTTTCTTTTTTGTACTGAAAGTAAACCTCAATACGACAGAATTTGGGATTGCCATCAAATGTACTACCTTCAAAAGCTTCCGAAGAATCGGTATCTTTTTGAAGTCACTTCTATATTGCTTCATTATGTTATGCAGCATCCGCAAACCTGAGAGCAAAAAAAAGGTGCATAATCAGTTTATGATATTCTATAAACCAAATAGTACGACAAGAAGGCAACAGAAATTATACTCAAAGACCACAAAAATAGAAAATGAAAAATAACAATAGACTGGGGGAAACTCTACCGTTTTTGTTTATTATGTCAGTCAGTACTACTCGTGACTTTGTCTTCAAAAGAGCATCAAGGATCATTGACAGATCTCGATTGCTGTAAAAAGAAAAAAAAGCATTCAATACTATCAGATACATAACATAAATCACTGTTCATAATTTGGAACATAAAAAATATAATAATAATTTAAGGCAACCTCTGAATGGCTTCATTTAATACTATCAGATGCATAACATAAATGACTGTTCATAATTTGGAACATCAAAAAATATATTAATAATTTGAGGCAACCTCTGGATTGCTTCACCGCTGGCACTTGCACCTGATGCAGCAGTCAGGAGAAGAAGCTTTAAGTATCCTTTAGGGGCGTCCTGTTAGGGGAAGAAAAAGCTTATGAGTACGTGAACACTGCAAAATCTCTGAACGAAAAATGAGCACACTGCAGCAGATGCAAATCCACTTTTTTTTTTCCTTTGGGTTTGAGTAAAAACAACACCTTTTTATCAAGAAAGAACAAAAGTACAGAAGAATATGCTACATCAACAGAAACCAATACTCTGATCCATGAAGAAAAAAAACACAGCAAAATTATATGACGACTAAGCAGCTGATGGTAAAGCATAAAAGAGCGCATTAACCATTCATTGCCACCGGCAAATAAAACCGATAGAATAGCAGAAAATTCACAAGTCGACATGCGGAAAGTTATGACGACTCACTTTTCTTTTGCTAATTCCCCCTTCAGCATCCAGGAGTTCATTAAGCTTCTCCTCAACTGAAGTATTAAATACCATTAACCATTAATAAGCACGACACAGCTATTTAAGCTACAGCTAGTATTCCAAATATGACTAACCTGCTTCAAAGCGGTTACCAGGAGAACCATCTACCAATCGCTTGGGCTTTACAGAGGAAATCTGGGGCCTGTTAGTTATTTGAACTTTTTCTACAGAGCTAACTTTTCCTTTCTTGATGGAACCTGGTTTACGCGATGTTTTCATCCGAAGATGCGACTTTATATATACTTTCTTATCTTCAACAGCATCCAGCTTAGACTTCTTACGAGCATCAATTTCAGCAACTGATAACTTTGCCTCCTGCTCAATAGAGCATGTATTTTTGTCAGAATTATTGTCACCAGGAGATATTTCTGGCTGATCCACAAACACAGGTTGGCTCGTCACATCTTCAGTCTGATGGGTAATATCAGCCAATGGAGTAGGTGATGCTACCTTTGAGTCTTCGAATTCCAACGAACTGTGCAATGGTGAAATTGTAGAGGCAGAAAGGTTAAGAGGATCCTCTTTTGCTTCTGAAATCTTCGAGGCAGAAAGCTTAGGAGTATCCTCTTTTTCATCTGAAATCTTAGATTCGACAGCAGTTCTGATAGGTTGATCTTTCTTATCCCTAACCCCTTTTATATGCTCTGAGGGTTGCTTTTTAACACCATCCAACAAACTAACTGCAGTTGGCAAGTTATTATTCCAACTTCTACCATCTGGACGAAGCATCACTGGTTCTGGAAATTCTTCATCTGAATCACTTTGAATAATGACCTCAGAATTGAGGGGGTCTCCACCTATGTAACCTCGACATTGGAAAGAACCACAATAACATTTTTTTGCAGCAGCCCCAAATACCCTTACATAATTGTAGTCAAATGTCACCTCTTCACCCTGAAACAGTAAATAAATGGAGAGGATATGACTTCTTGCTAATGTCTAAGGCACAAACAAGAAATTGATTAAGCATTGACAAAATTCACATAAAAAGCAAGAGTACTCTTCAGTAAATAAAGAAGTACGCAAGAAAAGGTTTGGAACTCCAAACATATCTGTCACAGCCAATCAAGATTGCTAACTACCAAAGAAATGCATGTGACCGCTAAATAAGTGTATTCCTTAATTTATAACTATGGTTCAGATGAAAGAAACTTACCAACTATTGTCTTGAATAAGTGATGCCAATTTTAAAACATTCTATTTATTCTTATTAAACTTCGGAGTTATCTCTACCCTGCGCCTCTAGGTTGTTCTTTTACCATCTTTTGAGGAATATACGCCTTTGTTTCTTATATATATATATATATATATAGATATAAGAAATGTACGCCTATATTCTTATTAAAATTTGTTTACATAGACAAAAGAAATGGGAAGAAAACAAGAAAATGAAAAGAAAAAAGGCCGTTACTGACCAAAAAGATACCAAAGTATCAGATATCGAGTTTTGAACAATAAATGCACGAATGTCCAAATCAACCAAAAAATTTGGGGAAAACATTCAAGGGAAGGATAAATTTAAAGAAAATATATCAAAGATAAGGATGGAAACATCAAGGTTGTTAAGTTTCATTCATCCATACTGATAATTACAGGATCAAGTGAAAAAGATATTCTACGCGAGACTCGACTGTCAATATCAGAAGAGAACTATAAAAAGTTATGGATCACATGATCTTGCTTCTGTGAATAATGTCGCCGAAACTAATTTGTTTACAGCATGGCTTCAATTTACTTTTTGAAAAACAAGCAGATATAGTGTAATCTGATGCCAATTTTTCATCGCAACGTTTTTTTCATCCCAAAGAACACTGAAACTATGGCTGTGGAAAGGGGCATATACTTTATAACAAGAGAGAGACAAAAATGTTTTATCAATGTAATTTCAACTGCAGGAAATGATAGAAAAATGGTAAATAAATAAACCATCCAATAATGGCATTTCAAGAGCCCTAAACAGTTGGAGGTTACAGAATGAGTTTCTACCATTGAGTCAAAAGCTACTGGTCTTTTAAAGATTAAGAAAAACACACGCACACTCCTTCCCATTGACGTAGTAAAATGTCTTACAGAAGAGGCAACCAAATTCCAACCCTAGAAGCTTAAAAGAACACGCTCCAATTAGAGCATTACTTAAGTGTTATACTTATAATAAAAAATATATAAAATAAAAAAAAGCATCAAACCCAACTTTATCAACAACCACCACACAGTCCCTACTCTTCTCATTTAAAATGATGCCGTTACTATCAACCAAAAGTCCTCCAAATCATATCACATGGATATTCATTCTGATAATGATTCAGTCAACAGAATGAATATCCATGAGTCAGTAAACAGTAAATATATGAAAACGAAGGTAGCAAAAGGAAACAGTAAATATACCTTCTTAATATCCCTTAGTGCAAAGAGCCCAATGCAGATTTCTCCATTCACCATCCACTGTTCCAAAGCCAAGAAAATAAGAATAAAAAGAAGAGAGAACTAAAAAATCGTAAATTCTCCCATAACTCTCTGAAATTTAATGTTTAAGTTGTTAGTACTGCTTTTACTGGCAGTAAAATTTTGAAAAATAAAAGTCCCCATTGCGATAGAAAGTAGGAACTAACCTGGCCAACACAGAATTATTAAAAATCTCAAACAAATGTTAACAATCAAGGTTGGTTGACATGCAAAGTAAATACACAAAACAGATGAAACAACCATAAGTTTTCAAAAGAAATTTCTTCAAAGGATTGCTGGTCGTCTAGCTATCTTTATGATTGAAGGGATTCTAGAGAATGGACTACTCATAGCTAGGGCTCCTTCACGACCAAAACCTCTTCTAGAGAATGGACTACTCATAGCTAGGATCCCTCAACAAAAAAACGGAAAAATAGGATGAGGATGTTGAAAATGGAAAAATATTGGAACCTCATGCATTGGGGGATACCCCAATTCCATCACGAGGGTATGGACGCGTACACCACTAAGCAGGTGAAGTATCATTATGTTTCACATAATGCTACCGTGACGGTTACTAATTCTAATGGGTGTCCGACATAAGGAGCTACCAGAGCAGGCTCGCCCGACAAGAAAAGGGGCCAGAGGTGTGTAAACTGACTGGTGAGTCCATACTCGCACGTATAGGTTGTGTGTAGATTATATGGTACACATCTAAGCTACCCATTAGGATAGTGCCGTAATTGTGAGTGGGCTTTAGGTCGTAGGTTAAAAGGCACATTTGGGAGTCCTTGGACAGCTCGCTCTCCTGGTTTCCTTTTCTCTTTTTTATTTTTTTTTTTATTTCAATTTGCAAAACGGTTTGAATACCTATTTTGGGAGATTATTGGGTGGGTAATAGTCCCTTGTGCTGTGTACCTTCCTCCCTTATTAATACCATTTGTCCTCTATGAGGTTTCATTATGTAGCTTCTGTTTTGTCTTTCTCGAGTATCTTTTTCTTCTCTTTGTCATCCCTTGCTAGGTAGGGAGGTGGAAGATGTTGTGGTGCTTCTGGGATTTTCTGTTACTCCAGGCAAAAGGGAGATTTGTTATTGGGTCTGCAAGTCCTTGGAGGGGTTTTCTTATTAATGATAATCACTAAACCAACAGATTGTTATTGTGCAATCTCAAATTACCTATATCCAACCCCCCAAGTTCCAACAGTCTCGTTGCACCTTCCAGCTGACCATATGAGAACCCTTCTTCCTCCTAACTCTTTAAAAGTCTCTCATAAACTTCTCTATAATCTTAATAATCTACATGAAGATCCTAAATTACAAAAGGAAGCCAGAACTCTGCTCAAGATCGAGGGTCCACCTACCTCAAAAGGGAAGGCCTAGATAAGAAGAAGAACAGCTACCATCCGACGACCCAATTACCCAGCTTGGTATGATCATAATTTAAACTAATTATTGAACACTTACCTTTACTAATCTTTAAACCAGAGATGCTATCAAAGACCAACTGAAAGTGAATAATGTTTACGAAGGAATCTTCCCTACCAGGGTAAAAAAATCATGTCATCAGACAACGGAAGATGCAGGAGATGCAACCTATCAATGCCTTCCCATCTTCAACCCCTCAAAAACACCCTTCTCCATTCCCCAAGAGACCATCCTACTAAGGTTGTCCACAATCGACAATAAAAGAATAAAAGTAATGGAGAAAGAGAATCACCTTGTCCAAAGAAAGCAAAGCTCTTACCTCCAGGCCTACCATCCACCATAATAGAATATCAAGCATAGTTTATGCAACTATAAATCCAAAATCTCCACTTGGAACCAAAACCTTTCTTCGAAAGCACCTTCTCTAAGAAATCTCAATCTACATAATTGTAAGCTTTTTCAAAATCAATCTTAAAAATAACACTAAAAAAAACTTCATGTTAACAACTCCTACAATCCTCAATCGCCTCATTAATCATAAGAAATTGATCCGGAATCTATCTCTTCGCCATAAAAACCCTATTGACACTCAGTAATCAGGCTACAAAAGTCTTTCCTCAACCAATGGGCCAAAACCTTCGGAGCACACAAGGCATCAATATGCCCCTGCAGAATTAAGACCTACTTATAGGGTGAAAATACTTCCAAAAAAAAAAAAGACATCATTTTACCAAGAAAATGTAATAGTACGCTACAATGATTTTTTATAAGAATAATATGCAAAAATGCTCAGTGAATTAGGTATAAACCTTCTCCGTGCGGCAATTTGGATCACAACTGTGGTTAATGAAACGCCCCAAATTTCCCTTTCCACATGCATCTATGACCTGTAAAACACAAATAGACGGATTACAGACTTGAAATAACTTTCACCAATGGGGAAATGAAGGGGAAAAGGACGCTATTAAGAGAAGTGGCCTGCATATCAGTTCCTCTTCAGTAGTCTAGGACAGTATAGGAATAAAAATCATTCTTACCTTGCAGTAATTAAGACATAATTATATTCTTAAATCATTACTTAAAAGATGTCCTGGAGTAGGAAAAAATAGATTCCTTCAACATGTTCCTTTTTTGTTTCTTTTTCAAAGGGGTGGGAAAGAAATTAAACAAGTAAGAATCTAAAACATTGCAAGGGAGCCAAAAGAGAAATAAAGCTTAAAATTGAAAGAATACAGAAAGGCATATTAAAAAGACAGCCCATTGAAAGAGGCTAGCCCAAACTAGATTAAAAATAAAAGGCCTCCAATCCAAGATAATAACACCAAGAGGATATTAGAAAAGAAGATGAAGATTCAACCTCACTGCCATCTAGTGTCATGAAGTAAAAATGTCGATGACCGTTCAATGCATACTCCTTTTGACGTGCCTCATAAGCATGCATGTCAAGGACCTGTATAGACCGAATAATTCAGCATTGGTTCAATCATACAGAATCTTATGCAAATTCAACCTAGAGCTTCATATATTCATGGACATATTCACACTGTTGCACAATTTTTTAATTCAGCTGAAAGAGTGAATTCATAAAGGAGATTACATTATTGGTCCTACAAATATAATAGTTTATTACCAGCACATCCAATCAACATGATAGATAACAAACAAAGCAAGAAATATACATGCTACTTTCAGGATACATGGAAAGCAACCGAAGATCATGGTAGACCATCCTACAGAATGTCTTGAACTATGGATATACTTCACAATTACCTCTCCAACATACTCAATGAGAAACTGTCCTTTCGATATATCCTCAACTGACTGTAGCCCATAACCCTTCTTTCCGCATCGCAACCACCGTAATTTAGCATACTTGCGCTTCTGGAACTGAAACCATGCATTCAAAAAATAAAAACACCCTTTCATCAGGACTCGATTTACTTTACAGAAAAGATTTAAAAAAAAATTGAAAAAATAATAGATAATAAATAAAAGAGAGATAAATTTAGAGCTCTAAGAAAAAGTTGCTAAACCTGTTGATTAGAACAAAGGTCCCCGCAAGGGCATGTACCTCGAACGCATTCAATATTGAGCATTCGATTCAAGCATTCATCTCCACAACCTAATCGACCATCCAAAGCTGGTTTGCAATGACAAACCATTATCTGTTTAAGATTTATGAAAATTAAAAAAAAAAATCAGGACAATATAGTATTGACCTAGACGTATTCAATCTCGTAACCTAATTGGCCACTTAAACTTCAAAAGGTGGTTTCACTGACAAATTATGATAAGACTAAGAACTACAAAATATTAAAACCAGAACGAACACATTTGCCTTGCCAAAAAAATTGAACAAGAAAGATAACAAAATTACACTTTTATTCCAGCAAAAGGGTAGATTGCTAATTTTATTCCCATCCTATAAGAAAAGAAAATGACATCTAAGATATCAACAATAGGACTAACAGATGAAGCAGCATCAGCAACAAAACTTTAAAAAGTAGCATGATCATGATTTAGGTGCATTAGAACATCAATTCCATACACTGCATGCTTGTCATTAGTTGAAGTTTTGTTGAAGATTTCCTGTGCATTCTATGTGCAGTAAGCATTCCTCTAGATATACTACCACAAGCACAGTCAAAGTTTCAAATTGCATTCTTGAACTTTTCAAATCAACTTTGTGAAGTACAATATACTGTAGACTGTCTTATCAAAAAAAATATATGTACTTCCTATAGTTATAGCTCCCTCATTGCAAATTGGGAAGGTCTTTTGTAAACACCATGGATTATACATCTTTTGTAAATTTCAATCATCAATGAAATTGTCTCTTATCAAAAAGAAGTATATATATATTTATATTTATATGTACTCTCGACTGTCTTATCAAAAACAAACGAATAATATAGATTGTACCCAGCCTTATTAAATCTAACTGCATTGCAGTGACAAGTTCCATTTTCAAATATTCTTCCCTACAAGAAAACAATACGTGCACCCTCTACTTGGTAGAAATTTATGAGAAAGGAAACTTCAAATTAAAAAATATGAACTACGAAAACAAAGGCACATAGAGGATAAAGAGCGGTGCAAAAGCAATAGAAAACAAAAGAAACCACCAACCAACTTCGTTAATCTTTTATCTGCTCTTAGTTCCAGAGAAAAAAATCAACTGAAAAACAAATTCAGAAGAAAAAGTTTTCACTTGTCCCTCTCACACTGGTGCAGGCTACCCATGTACTGGAAATTTGTGGATCAAAAGTCAGCTTTTTATTCTCCTTGGTACCTGTTCAATATTGAATGGAGGTTCTAAATCACTTTTGTATGTGCTAGTGCTATCCAGGAAAGACTTGCGATCTTCAGCAGTAGAATTTGCTTGCCCACAGTGTTATGAGAAAGGAGAAGATTAGTGAACCAATCTAGTGCTTGCAAGGACTGACGCCTTCGGCTAGAAGGAAATAGGAGACTTTCGAGGATGTTTACAGGGATTTTCTAGAACTCATAATACTCTTATTACCTAGCTTCAAAATTAAGTTACCTATCAAAAGACTTTTGTACTCCTTTTTTCATTAAAACTAACTTAACTGTCTTTCCTAAATTGCTCTTAGTAGTACAAGGAGATCCTACATCTCCTACCTTGTCCCTTTCTAGTTTGTTGACAAGTTCTTTATTCAAGGAAAAAATAATAACTTTACAGGTGACCCCAATTTGATGGAAGGGTTGTATGAAATAAATTAGAAGAAACAACCCAAACTCTTCCAAATAAAAAAAATATTGGTATGGAAAAAGGCTAGGTGTTGAACACTAGCCAAAGCAACATAGCTAAAGAGAACACTCAGGAAAATCAAGAACGTGAGAACACAACAAAAATTTCCATTATTGAAGGCACAAGAATATGAAATCATCCAACTTCGAATTTCCAAGTTTCCCAACTAATACACTAGATCAATTTGGACATACAAGTTAAACCTACTTTGAATTACATGCATAAAAATCTTAATAATCATCTATCAAGATGAAAAAATCATTTCGAAAAATGCACCTCATCAATAGTCTGAGTTTTACGACTGCGGTGCAAAAAGTGATTGCTGCTAATGGAAGTAAATTTGTTCTCTTGAGGAACAGCAGTCACTGCAAACAAGTACAGGAGTCACATTTCGACAATCAGAATTGCAGGATACTGGACTACAGAAGTATTTACTACTACTACTACTACTACTACTACTACTATTATTATTATTATTATTATTATTGATGGACTCCCCAAGGGAAAATGTAAATTAATTCTGAACTTCATAATACTAAAACGGCATCCCCAGCTAGATCCAAGTACCTGTTGTTGGATGAAAACTATCTAATTCCCTATAAGTTAGCCTTTTATTAGAAGCATTTTCTTCCCCAGATTCATCTGATATTTCCAACTCCGCATTAATCTCTGCATTAGACTTCTCTTGTGGGATTGAGCAGTCAGCAAAAGCCTTGTCCACATTGTCCTTACAGGTCCTTCAAACACAAACAACTATAAATTAAAAAGTGTCTATATATCTGTGTGTGTACTGATAATAAACAATTTCATTGATGTTGGGAAATTACCAAAAAGAAAAAGGGAAAAATATGCCCCAATACAAGGGAGTTACAAAAAAAAAAATCATTGTAGAATATTGGTTCTAGAAAAAGGAAAGTAAAAAATGCGTGAAAAGCAAACAGATTTGATGAACTAAAGACTTGAGGATACCAAAAAATAACAATTTCAACTGCATTAATTTGCAGAGAGCTTATTCAAAAATTATGAACAAGATGCGTTCCACATCGAGAAAAGATTATAACGACATGAGGTTTATTGAAGTTAAATTAGAAAACTTTTACAATATCAAGGAAACAGGATGAAGTGAAAAAACATGGAACTCCATTTAGCACCAGCCTGGCATATGGTTTGACGTGGTCCTTCTCTCATAAGTTCAATAATATCCCAGAAACAGAGGAAATATGTCAATAGGTAATACCCTGAACATTCTATTTCCAGGAAAAAATAAATTGGTGCATATTTATATACATTTTGCAACAAGAAAAAAAAGACTACATAAAAATAGAGGGTAGCTCAAAGAGTAAGCAACCTAACAAGACAAAAAGTTGGCATTTGCCCAACTCCCAACCCATATTTGCTTATCAACACCCAGACTTAGTTAAAAATCCCCCTATTCCTAAGTTTGCTCGTGTACAAATGGTATAGTAGAATGTTGACTTATGAAGATGCTGCATGAGAATCCAATTTAATATTCTAATGCATATTGTGAGTATAAAAAGAGAACGTTTAAACAATTTAAAGAAGACATAAAACTCATGGTCCCCCTTCAAGTGGTATATGATTAATGAATGTGTACCATGTGCAACTTGCATGTCCTAAACTATCCACAAGAGAAGCTGGTATGCGTCGCCATTTATGACAATCGTCGCAGAGCACCCAAGCATTGCGAGGAGGCATGTACTGCTCATTCACAGCACCCTGTACCACATTCAAATTTACTGCCACTGTGGATTCTATGATGTCATTGCTTTTCTCGGGCTTATCTACAAGGTAATTTCCTAAAACATTCAAATAGAATTAGAAAGAAATTTTAATTTTTCCAATGCGTCAGCAATAATCTAGCACAAAAACAGAACATAAAGATCTCCAACAATCATGTTCAGAGAAGGAGAAGGATTGCATCTGCAAGTGTAAGTAAAATTACCTACTATTTGGTGACTTTCCGTTTCAGTAACAACTCGGTCACATAAAGCCTCCTTGATACTCTTATTAAAAGACTTCCGTCGGTAAACCCTCTCTTTAGAAGCATTCTTTATTTTGTTTTTTGAGCCAGGAGCCTTGGACTTGCCTTTGCTTGTTTTAATAGATTTTGAACCTTTGGGATGTTTCTTCCTTGCAGATTGAGAAGGTAGAAATGTTTTTGAATTCTCTGATTCAAGAAACACACTGCCAACATCTGTTCTGTAACATTCTTTATCTTCGAGAATGCCATCTGCTTTCAAAGCCTCTTCTGGAAGTTCAATCTCTGTTGACAAAGGCACTTGATCAATAGACAATTCCTTAACAGTTAAAGAGTAGTTTACAACATTCGCATCATTGTAAGTAAATGTCTCACCAGAACCAAGTTGATTGTCCGCGTTCAGTCTTCTTCCATGCTTCTTTGATGACTTGGACCTGTTATTGCAAGCCGAAGCACCTGTGCCAGCTTCATCAGAACAACTAACTGCCTGACAGGGTTTCTCCTTCTTCCTTCCTTTCTTACTGCTGGAAGCATTTCCAGAAGCAGCAAAATCTTCTAAAGATGGCAACACCGAGTCCTGCAATTTTTCCTGACGCATTGCTCCAACTTGAATATCTAACATCGAATTTATCACTTCTGAATCAGGTGAAGTTCCAGGATCCAAACTCCTGGTATCAATTGCCCTTTCTACAGGCTCAACCATATGGGAGGAAACACAAAGATTATCATCTGCATGCTTTGTAGATGACTTCTCTATAGTGACGGTGCAACTTGAATCATTATTAGCACATTGTTCATTCACAACAGAAGCATCAGGACATTTCTTTTCTTTATCCTCATTCTTGCTGTAGCAGAAGATCTTTCTTAAAGACCCCTCTTCAGGCTTTTGATCATCAACACTTGGTGGAAATTCCAAATTACCTTCCCAATATGATTCATTACCATAATGGCAATTGATACCCTTGGCAGACAATGATGAATCAACAATCTCAGGAACCACAATGTTCAGAAAATTGTGACCCACATTCTTCCCTAATTTAACCTTCAAACGAATACGGTTGGTTGAAGTTGAAGTATCACATTTTCCTTGGGTCCCTTTTCTTGATCTATGTGAACTTTCACTTGGCTGTTTCTTACTCCGCTTGGTACCTCCTTGATTACCTTTAGATTTCTCATTCCCTTGCTTCTTGCTTTGATTTGCCAGAGCATCGTCAATTTTTTCAAATGACTGAATAATAAAGCCCAGTGATCCCCAAGGCAAGGGACGAGCTGGCCTAGATATAGAGCTTCTCCTTCTTCTTGTTGTGTCAAAAATCAGCGGTTCTGGCACTATTTTTTTGCTTTTCCTGGAAGCCCTTTTTGTCACATTTTTTTGGCTTGACGGTCTCCTTCGGCCACTCCTCTTAGAAGACATGAGAACTGTTTCAGGACATTTAACTTCAGAAACATGGCCAACTTTCTCTGTGTCATTGTTGTCTTGATCACTGACACTACATGAATTATCCTTTATTGGCATATCTGCTCCAATCAACATCCCATAAAATTCATATTTTTCAGAATTAAAGGGCTGAAAAGGCAAGGGGGATGCAAGTAGCTCAACACAGTTGGTGTTCTCTTGAATACTGGCTTCCTCCAGATTGCAGTTATTTTCCATATCAGGTACTATATGTTGTCCACCATCACCATTATTATCAGTCAAGACAACAAAATCGTCTTCCACAACTTCTGGAATGTACTTGGATAAGGAATTACTGTCATGCTTTTCATCACACCGATTAATCTCTGGAGAGTGGATGGTTAGTGGTGAATCATCAGCTTGTAAGCATTCCCTAATCCTCTCGCAGCCTTGTGAAGGCAAAATTTGCAAGCACAATTCAGGATTGCTGTTCATATCAGCAAATTCATTAACTGTTTCTCCAGAGGTACCACTTAAGCCTTTCCCATCCATCTGGCAAATATATTGTTCACAATTGGCAACTGATCGTGCCATATGTATTGGCAGTATTTGATCACTCTGTAAAGGGGACATCTCATTCAATATGTCTGCTTCTATTTCAACCAAAGCCTCAGTTAACCTGTCTGCAACCTCTGAAAACGAACAACCAGCACCATCATTTTCCAGCTGTTTTTGATGTATGAAATCACTTGACAATCCATCGGCAGAAGCTGAACTAGAAACAATTTCACAGATGTGAGGAGATTTTAAGTCGTCTGTACAAGTACCTATCCGTGATAAAAGAGGACCATTTTCTACAATATCACCGCTTTCAACTTTTTCAGAAGCATCAATTATACAACTATTATTATCAAGTCCTTCGGGTTTAACGGAATTCATTAATGACCCAGCTAAAGACATCATTTCCATGGTAGTTTTGCAGCCCAAAATATCAACCAAATCATCAACGTCTTGAGACTCTTTCATATCCAAGCTCAATGCTCCATTCCCCACGTTGCAAGCCTCGTTCTCCTCATTTAAACAGGGATCACTATCGCCGGAATCACAGTCCAACCTTTTATCCAATAGCAATGTATCAGCATGTTTGAAGCCTCTGGATGTCCCATCCTCCCCTGCAGTATCAGGCTCCGATGCATTCGTGCAGATATTAGTCGCAGTCACTCCCAGTCCCCTATCTGGTTCCAACATCTGACAGTCACTAGAATTGGATGGCAAGGAAGACATCTCCTGGCGTGACTGATACTTGGGAAGAGGTTGACTCGAACACCCGAACAGCGGAGTAATAGAGCCGCGAACCGGTTCTCCGATAACAGCAGGGTCATCACATGATCCCATCTATCTTATCGATAACGAAAACCAATCGATACCCATAACTCAAAAATTGCATACGGCAACAAAATAGAAGCATACAAAAACGCGACTAACCCGAAACAAGTAAAAGGCGTATACCAATCTTCTTCAATCAAATCCCAGTTCTGCTAGCTCACAACATCTACAACCGGAGAAAACAAGAATACAATCTCATCGCATTCAAGAGGAATTCCAACGAGCAGATAACCCACCAAAAATGGCACTAGCCGGACTCTCTGCATCATTAAAACCCTAATTTCAGAATTTCCAATGCAATGCAGAAACATCCGCGGCGGAAAACACAGAGTTCTGCCAAAATCGAAAACAAAAAGAAACAGAAAAGTCAGAAGGAATCAGAAAGAAAAAAAAGACGGCAAATTACCTTGGGGGAAGACGAAATTGAGTAAACGGATGAACTTGCGCAGTTTTTCAATGGCGTCCAAATTGCTGCTCCTACGAATTCCGTTTGCGAAGAGAGAGAGAGAGAAAAAGAAAAAGAAAAAGAAAAAGAATCAAAGAGGGATTGTTTACGCCTTATAAACGTTGTTCTAAGTTCTAACAACGAGAGTTCCGAACCGAGAGAAGGAATTTGGTGTTGATTGGTAGTCGGTAGAGACCGTTTAACCCTACACGCTCTGATCCTACCTCTTGGGGGTATTTTCGTAATATCACCTCCCTTCCTGGTTCCTCCTGCATATGACTTCTAAAGATTCGGGCCAGCAAAATTTCGTGTAAACAAATATTAGGGTTCAATATTTTTTAATATCAAATTATTAATATTATCTTTTTTTTTTTAAATAATTAAATTTATCATTTTTTAAATCATTATTATTATCTCTATATTTTGAATTTTTTTTTTTAATTAAATTGACCAGGAACGAATCTTTACATATTACTTAAACATTTTTTTAAAAAAATATCTATATATAGAGGTAATATTTGGCGTATTTTATATTAATTTAGTTTTTTTTTTTTTTTTTTTTTTTTTTTTTTTTTTTTTTTTTTTTTTTTTTTTTTTTTTTTTT